CCTGCAGCTTGCTGCCTTACTACAAAAGCAGGACGAGTTTGCTGGGGCTGGTTAGCTGGGCAAACATCTGCAGCTGCACTCACAAGCCATTCAAGCTGCTGCTGTGAATAAGCAATGACCTCAGCTCAATGAATTTTAACTAAAACACTATTTGAATAAAGAGCTGGGAAGTGTTTAAAGTAAAATCGTACTTGAGGTGTTAAAAGTTTTGACAAAGTGTAACAAAAATATATCAAGCAAAATTTGATTCACTGTTACTACACAACAAGGCCACAATTTTATGACTGTGGTGTTTTGGTTTTTTTTGGTTTTATTTTTTTTGTTGTTGTTTTGTTTTGTTTTGTTTTGTTTTTTAATCTTTTCAGTTTCCCAGCCTGTCATTGCCTCTCAGGTCAATAATGCACACAAATATATTCTAACTTGCTTCAAGCAACAACACATTGTTTTTCCTCTTAAAATGAACTCCAAAAGTTGAGTTTTAAAGGCCTGCAAGCCTGTGTTTTGTAGCTAAGTGCACGTAACCTTGAAATGCTTGTCTAAACATAGACATTTGTGCAATTTGAAGTCTTGTTTATTTTATATTACATTGCTTGCCACTCAAGCAGATGTATGATGAACTGAATGGCAGGAATCATCACTTAGGGATCATGCATAATGCTATGTTGTTAAACCTAAAGCACACATACCCAAACCAACTGTGCTTCTCTCTGCCCTACACTCTCGTCTATGAAATAAGAGCCTGAAACTATTAGTGTGGCACTGCAGCTTAAAAAGTTAACAAACCATCTGGGATGCCCCAGCTGTGCACTGGCCTGGCAGTGAGGGACTCAGCCTTGATGGGGACTCAACTGGGTGTTGCTGGTTTAACCCCTGCACTGGCACCAGTCACCAGGGCCAAGACAGCTGTTCAGCCCAAAGGAAGGAAGACTTTGGTGAATCTTGTCTATTTGCATAAATACCTGAGTGGGGAGGGAAGTGGAAAAGATAGAGCCAGACTCTTCTTGCTGGTGGCCAGTGAAAGGACACGCAGCAATGAGGATGTGGTAATGGACACAAACTAAAATGCAAGAAATTCCACCTAAACATAAGAAAACGGGTTTTTTTCCTCCAGAGGGATCTATCTGTATAATGGACTTGAAACTGACTGAGACCTGCAAAGAGAGACTACTTGTCCCTCAAGTAATTCACTATCAGGCTGATGGCAGCTGTGTCTACAGAAGCACTCTGACATTTCCCATGAAGCAGGCTGACGAGACATGCAGTGACACGGGAGTCCCAGTGATATGATAACATCTCCATTGCCTATATCTTCTGGTACTTACACACTTAACATTTTATTACTGGAGTAATGGATTTAGCCTTATCTGATATGAGTGTGATAAGGAAGTTTGTATTTTTAACTTGTCAATAAAGTAGTTGGGGCTGGAAATCAACAGCTTTTATTTGCAATTTTTTTCAAAGAAAAAGTGTTCATATGCCATTTTTCTTAGGTTGTGCCAGAATATTAATTTAAGTAAATGTTTTAGAATTTGCCAAATGAAAGATTTTCAAAAGCATTAATGGTAGAATATAATTTCAAACCTTATGAATCTGAAAACAACTGCACTTCATGGAAATGTTGACTTAAACAGGAATAAAAACCTAGTACCTTGCATGTAATTTGGCAAGAATGAATAAAGCCTTTTACAGGCTGTTTATTTCACTGTTCACAAACATGGCAAGCAGAGTACTTTAAATAGCATCTCAGTGATCTCAGTGAATCCACAGTATATCTCTGCACTTTTCCTCCTGGAGAAACCATTTACATCATTTGACACAGTAACTGTGAAAACAATTTAAGAGATTACCAGATATGGATTATTTATATTCAGCAGTTTATATGTGAATCTGATTTCCTCATTAGTCTTTTGTTTGATTTAGAAGAATCAGGGTTCTGTTTTCCTAATAGAAATACGCTTAGGCATCTCTTAAAAAAAAAATTAAATCCTCAATGTATGTTCCAGACTGTGAGCCAAACTTTTGCCTCCTACTAGACACAACATTTGGTAGCAGAACTCAGTGATACTGCAGTTGCAGCTTTTCATTTAAAAATTCATAATTGGTAGAGCACTATTATTTGCCATTGCTTTTTACACACAGCATCTCATTTAATGGTGCAAACTCTTAGCAGTGCAAATAATACGTTGGATCTACACTACAGCTGAGGATGTGAGAATACAATTAACAGCCATAATGAAGTTTATGAAAGCTCTGTTTACAAACACGAAGAAATACTTATAAGTTCCAGAATGTACAGCAGTGGGAAGAAATGTCAGTTATGGAAAGACACGTGAAAGGGGAAAGAGGAAAAGGAAATACTTGTACTAAGAGACATATTTCTGTTTGCTTTGAAGTACATAGATTCCATAAACTTTGCAAGGGATAAATAAACTAATGTGGCACAGAATTTGCAGCAAAAATAATTTATGTTGAAAGTTTCATAGCAAAAACCTTTCTAAACAAGGCAATTAAGTGAGTGTTCCTTAGACAAAACATCCTCAGTCCCTAAGTTTAGGACATGACTAACAACAGTTTTGCTAAAACTGAAGAACTGAATTTCTGTACCAAATCCTATCATATTTTCACTTGGTTTGCTTGGAGAAATGCTTAAGTATTGAATATTTCAGTTCTTCACACTGATCTTTACTTAGGTGTGGTTTTGCTATTTCACAGACTTTCCCATCCTCCTTTTTAAGTCCACCTTGACCTTCTGTCATCCAAACATTAAACTCAAAAAAGGAAAGCAGTCAAACTACTGAACATGGAATGGACTAATGTGCAAATCTTGCTTACACAATCTCAAATCTGTCTGAACTTCAACTTTCTCTTTACATTTAGTCAATAATCACAGTTAGAAAACCTCTTCCTAGTTTCATCTTAGCTGCTGTTTAGAAAAAGAGCACTTGAAAGGCCTGAGTACTGCATTTTTTGTTGATTTATGCAACTACTTTTGTTTCTTAAAAGTAGTGGTTTTGAAAGGGAAAAATACTTTCATTCCCTGATTCCTCCTTGAGGATTCTTTCAGCAGATGAAAAATATAATTTTTTTTTTACATGATTCTGTACTCATCCTTCTGAAAAGACTCTACAAGATTAGAAAATAATCATTCTGTCCCAGTCCTAAATGGCTGAGTAAATTGTACTGGGTAAATTTGGTTTCTGTTACAGAGGTGCTATGACAGTTATCTCAAAAATCACAATTCCAGAATGGATTCACTACTGTTCACCAAAGATTCTATCTAGCTTCAAGGAGTAAAGAGATTCTTCCACCTCACTGACACCATCCATAATTTTGACTTCAAAATGCATAATCTACTTATGCAATATTATGTGCTACATTTCCATGGGAATCACTTCTAGATACTGAATATGCAATTGGTTTTCTAAGCAATAATTCATTCAGACAAGACTTCTGTACTGTAGTTTTTGGGACTGTAGTAGCCAAACCTTTGGTCTTTGTCCACAGTGAATATTCTCCAGATAGCTAGTGCCCTGCTCTGATCAAAAAAATAAAACACCAAAAAACCAAAACCAAAACAAACACACACAAACCCCCCCAAAAAAACCAAAAAAACAAAACCAAAACCACCAAAACTGAAATGTTTTTTGAAAAAGTGCAAATCTGTAGTTAGGTAAATGTTCTAACCCAAGGAATGGGGAACTGTATGTGAAAAATTCTCCTTTCTCCATTCTACCCAACCAATGCTTATTTCATGTAGGACAGAACAGAAAAATGGACTGGTTTGGGGAGTTCTTGCAGCAGTTGTGGAAGCAGACTGGCATGTTTATAATTCCACTAAGCTGAAGACAGAACTGAAGTTAATAATCTGGTAAATAGAAGAGTGCCCTTACTGATCTGAAGAATAAAACCAGAAAGAAGGTATGTACCACCAGTGGACATGTCTTCCACAGTCTCATCTCAATTTCTTCTGGTAATGTTTAGGAGATACTGCCCTCTGGGAGATACATTTATGAAACAGAGGCATTCTTAGACTGTAAGAAGAGTGAGGGGGACTCTCAAGAGAATCAAGGTTTGTCAGGCTGGAATTTCAATGCACCTTGATTACATCACAGATAAAATACAATTTTGAGAGTACATGCTTTGTTTTTAGATGTCTCACACAAGAACAGTTCAGACACTAAAATAATTTTTACAGATAGATTGCCTTACTTCTTTTAACATTAGTTTCCCATATGATGAAAATAGTTCTTGCCTACTTAATCAAAGTAGAGGAGGCCTACATTGGTGCTGTGAAGAATTAATTTTCTTCACAGTAGCAACCACAGCCTCACTGAAGTTGGAAGGGACCCACAAGGATCATTGAGTCCAACTCCTGGCCCTGCATAGGACCACCCCCAAGAGTCACAACATGTGCCTGAGTATCTTTCAAACACCTCTTGAATTCTATCAGGCTTAGTGTTGAAACCACTTCCCTGGGGAGCCTGTTCCAGTGCCCAACCACCCTCTGGGTGAAGAATCTTCTAATATCCAACTTAAACCTCCTCTGACACAAATCTATATCATTCCCTTAGATCCTGTCACTGGTCACCACAGAGCAGAGATCAGTGCCTGCCCCACGTCTTCCTCTCACAAGGAAGTTGTAGATTGCAACGAAGTCTCCCCTTAGTCTCCTCTTCTCCAGGGTGAACAGATCAAGTGACCTCAGCTGCTCCTCATATGTCTTCCCCTCAAAGCCCTTCACCATATTCATTGCCATGTTTTGGACACTCTCTAATAACTTAATATCTTTCTTATATTGCAGCAGGCAAAACTGCACATGACTTTCAAGGTGAGGCTGCACCAGTCAGAGCAGAGTGGATAATCACCTCTCTCGATCAGCTGGTAACGCTTTGCCTGATGCCCCCAGGACTGCCAGGGCACTGCTGACATATTCAGCTTGCCATCAACCAGGACTCCCTTGTCCCTTTCCATGGCACTACTTTCCAGCATCTCATTCCTCTGTCTGTACATACATCCAGGGTTGCCCCATCCCAGGTGCAGAATCCAGCACTTTCCCTCATTGAACTTCATATGATTGGTGATTGCTGTAATTTGTTGGGGTCTCTCTGCAGGACTTCCCTGCCTATAAAGGAGGCAACAGCTCCTCCCAGTCCTATGTCATCTGCAGACTCACTTAGTATCCCTTCCAGTCCTGTGTCCAAGCCATTTATGATGGCTAGGCTTCACAAACAAAGATTTGAGAAGGGCTCTAGCCATGCTTGCTGCATGTGCACTGATGGCTGAAAAGGCCAATGCGAGGTAGACAAGTCCGGTTGCAGAAGGCACAGCAGAAAGACTCCGCAGGTGATATCGACAAGATGCGATTCTTTCTGCATTGTCTTTTCTCCTTGAGAGTGATCCTGCGTGTGTTCTCAAAAGAAGCAGCAGCTTCTTTTAACAAGATACTTAACAAGGTGCTGAAGAGCACAGGGCCTAAGATGGAACCCCACTAGGGACAGGTCACCAGTCTGATGTTACCACATTCACTATTACCCTCTGTGCTCAGCCCATAAACCAATTGCTCATCCACCATATGATGTGTTTATCCAGCTGTGTGCTGTCTGCTTTGTCTGGAAGGATCCTCTGAGAGACAGTATTGAAATTTTTACTGAAATCCAAGAAGATTACATGAAGTGGCTTCCCTTGATCAACTAGGTGGGTTATCTTGTCATCAAAGGAAATTTGGTTTGATAAGCAGGAATTTCCTCTCATGAAACTGTGCTGGCTGTGACTGATGACTGTGTTATCTTTCAAGTGTTTTTCAATACCTTGAAGAATAACCTTCTCCATAACGTTACCAGGCACTGAAGTGAGACTCAGAGGCCTGTAGTTTTTGGGGTCCTCCTTCTTGCCCATCTTGAAAATCGTGACAATGTTCTCCAACTTCCACTCAGCTGGGACCACTCTGAATTCCCAGGACCACTCAAAAATCATTGAGATAAGTTTTGTGATTACATCAACCAGTTCTCTGAGGATTCTTGGATGAATTGCATCAGATCCCATAGCAGACATGATGTAGCCTTGCTTTTCTGGAGAAGACTGAACACCCTCCTGCCCATGGGAAATGGTGAATGAGTTCCTTGCTTTGTTTTGCTTATGTGTGGCTTTAGCTTTGCTTATTAAATTGTCTTTATCTTAATCCACAGTTTTTCTCACTTATATCCTTCTGATTCTCTCCCTCATTCCACAATGGAGGACTGAGCCTCCCTTGGGAAGACAGCTGAATGAGGGTTAGTTGCCTGCTGGGGTTAAACCATGATACTTTCTAAATATTAATGAAGATTGGCAGATAGAAAATATATTGCTATTCAAAGACTGTGTTACTGGAGAGAAATGGGAATATCAAAAGGCATTCTGTATCTATAGAAATTGCCATTAAAGCTGTCCTGCAAGCAAGGTGAGACAGTTATATAGAAATTACTGGTGTAGAAAGAGTTAAGAATGCAGAGTACTGTTATGTATCATCTAGTCTTTCTTCCAGACTTAATTCCTCATTATATCTTAATGCTGGAGAATGGCTGGCATGCATAAACACAAACATCATTTATTCATCAGTAATTTGGCGTTTAATTAAAATATTACTTCATTCTCATTGAGAGCATAAGAAAGAACATTATAAATATAACAGGTCAAAAAATCACTATATTAGCTGCTAGAATAAAGAATACACTACTGAAGACATCCTAAATACGATTTTACAAGGTAAAAGATAAGGAACTAAAATAATAGGCCTCATGTAAATTTTTTTAAGAGGAAGAAATTACAGTCAATAAAGTGCATGACATCGATGAGGAAGTAAGCAACAACCCATAGTCAAACTGGGTATTGGGTTTTACCTTAGAACCAAGGAGATTACCTTCTTGTTTATCTCATGCACTCCCACATGTCTTCACCCATGCCCTGTTATGTCCTTAGGTTTCCATTCTCCTTCCTAGCAGGGAGATTGCTGCCGGTCTGGGAAGCTCGAGTAGAAAGTCATGTTGATTTACACTGATCTGCTGTTTGTAGGAACTGGTCTTGATTGTTACCAGCCAAAATCCCTGTGCATATCTTGTTATTGATCTCCATGCACCTCTACCTTATCATCAGTACCTTCCCCACTTCTAGGATCTTTCTTCCAGCCAGGATGTTTACCTCTTTCTTTCCTGGCCCCCCTTTTTGTCCAAGACCATATCTTCTTTTCAGGAACTCCTATTTTTCAGCACTCATTTTTCTCTACAGAACACCCAGCACCCATTTTTCCCAATAAGTAAAATAATGGAATCATAATCACAGAATAATTATTGTTGGAAAAGACCTCCAAGGTCTTTGACTCCAACTTTTGACTGAATAACAACATGTCAACTAAACAACTAAGTGCCACATCCAGTTTTTTCTCAAACACTTCCAGAGATGGTGATTCCATCCCTTTCTTGGGTAGCCCATTCCAACACTTAATCACCCTTTCAGTGAAGAAATTCTTCTTTATGACTAACCTGAACCTCCCTTGGCAAAGCCTGAGGCCATTTCTTCTTGTCCTGTTACTAATTCCCTAGGAGAAGAGGACAACCTTCAGCTACCTAAAACATCCTTTCATGTAATTGTAGACAGTGAAAAGGTCCCCCTTGAGCTTCCTTTTCTCCAGACTAAACAACCCCAGCTCCTTCATTTGCTCCTCATATGACTTACTCTCCAGACCCTTCACCAGCTCTGTTGCCCTTTTGTGGGCTTGCTTCAGCACCTCAATGTTTTTCTTGCAGTGAGGGGCCCAGAACTGGACACTGGTGACAAGTACAGACAATACCTTCCCTGATCTTGCTGGCCACAGTTTCTGATACAGCTGAGGATGCCACTGGCCTTCTTGGCCACCTGGGCACACTGATGGCTCATGTTGAGCTGCTGTCGACCAACACCCCCAGGTACTTTTCCACTGGGCAGCTTTCCAGATACTTTACCCCAATCCTGTAGCACTGCCTGGGGTAGTTGCAACCCAAGTTCACTTGGCCTTACTGAACCTCATGCCCTTGGCTTCAGCCCATGGATCCAGTCTGTCCAGATTCCTCTGCAGAGCCCTCCTACCCTCCAGCAGATCAGCACTCTCACCCAACCTGGTGTTGTTTGCAAACTGACTTAGGGTGCACTCAATCCCCTCATCTAGATTATTGAAAAAGATATTAAACAGGACTGACCCCAATACTCACTGGGGAATCCACTAATGACTGGCCACCAACTCAGTGTGGCACCATTCACCACCATGCTTTGGGCCCAAGTACCCAGCCAGTTTTTAACCTCATGAAGAGTACACCTGTCCAAGCCATGGGCTGCCAGCTTTTCAGGACAATGACATGGAAGACAGCATCAGAGACAAAGGCTTTACTGAACTCCAGGTAAACAACATCCACAGCCTTTCCCTCATCCACTAGGTGAGTCGCCTGGTCATAAAAGGAGATCAGGTTGGTCAAGCAGGATGTGCCTTTCCTAAACCCTGCTGACTGGGCCTGATTCCCTGGTTGTCCTGTACATGCTGTGTGATCGCACTCAAGATGATCTCTTCCCTAACCTTTCCCAGTACCAAGGTCAGACTGACAAGCCTGTAGTTCCCTGCATTTTGCTTCTGGCCCTTCTTGAAGATGGGTCTTGCACTGGCAAGCCTTCAGTTATCTGGGGCCTCCCCTTATAATCAGGGCTGATGATAATTGAAGGCAAGTGGCTTGGTGAGCTCTTCTGCCTGTTCCTCAGTACCCTCACGTGAATCTCATCTCGCCCCATAAACTTGTGAGTATTTAAGTGGCACTACAGGTCACTGATTACTTCCTCCTAAATTACATTCTGCTGGATTGCTTCCTCTGGATTACATTATATTCTGCTCTCTGTCCCTGTCTACCAGCTCAGGCGTCCAGTTGCCCTGGGGGTAACTGGTCTTTCTGTTAAAGACTGAGGTAAAGAAGGCATTAAGTACTTCAGCTATTTCCTCATTTTTGATGTCAATGTTCTCCTCTGCATCCAGTAAAGGATGAAGATTTCCCTTGGCCCTCCTTTTTCTTTTAATCATAGAATCATAGAATCAGCCAGGTTGGAAAGGACCACTGAGATCATCAAGTCCAACCCTTTTGATCCACCACCACCAGAGTTACTAGACTTTGGCACTAAGTGCCACATTCAATCTCATCTTAAAAACCTCCAGGGACAGAGAATCCAATACTTCCCTGGGCAGCCCATTCCAGTGCCTGCATACCCTCTCTGTAAAGAATTTCTTCCTAATATCCAACCTAAACCTCCACTGGCAGAGCTTAAGACTATGCCCTCTTGTCTCTATAATATATCTATAAAAGCACTTTTTATTATCTTTCACAGCAGTGGCCAGATTGAGTTCTAGCTGAAATTTTAGCTCTCTAATTTTCTCTCTACATGACCTAAAAATATCCTTGGACTCTTCTTGAGTTGCCTGCATCTTCTTCCAGAGGTCTTAAATGCTGTTTTTTCCCCTGAGGTCATGCAAAAACACCCTGTTCAATCAGGCTGATCTTCTTCCTTGCCATCTCATCTTTTGGCACATAGGGACAGCCTCCTCTTGTAGCTTCACGATTATCTTCTTAAAGTATATCCATCCTTCCTGGACCTGTGTGTTATAAGGACTGTTTCCCAAGGGACACTCTGAACCAGTATCCTGAACAGGCCAAAATCTACCTTCTGTAATTCAAGGTAGAGGTTTTCTTGACTCCCTTCCTTAATTCACCGAGAATTGAAAACTCTATCATTTCATGGTTGCTATGCTGCAGATGATCTCTGACCACTGAGAGTCTTTCTATGCAGAAACACAGTGTGAGATCAGTCTCCTAAATGGTGTATGTATCTAAAGTCTTTTATTAACTGGAGGATTCAGGATGTCCTACTGTTATTTGGTCCAGACATTACCAAAATTCACAAACACTCGTATTGATTGCAGCTATCAAGTAGGAGGCTTCTGCTTGAGAATTAAAAAGTTAAATTTTGGATATCTGTGTGTGTGTGTCCTGTTATCTCCTGCCTCATATAATTTACAATTTAATAATTTTTTTCCTTACAACAATATCATATTTTAGACTGTCCCACTGTAAGATGATAGGTGAATTTTCCTTCTAGTAATGACAGTAAGGGTATGCTACACAATGTTGTGGTATCTTACTAATTGGATTTTCCCAAAAGAAGATTGTTAGATGCTGGAGTAAGGAATGTTTATCTTTCATGCAATTGGAAAACTATTTGAATTCTGGACCAAATGTGTTTCTGTAATGAACACTCACTTTACTTGAGAGTGAACAAATACTGTAACAATGGCATTGATATCAGCAACAAGAACCATCAATAACAAAGTAATTAAGAAATTCATTACTTGTGACCTCAATCTCTTTTCAATTCCTTATTCTCCAAAGCATCAAAATGCCACCCCAAGTAGTCTTTTTCCTCCTAAATATTTGACAAAATTTCATCTGCAAATAAAACTCATGGACAGAAATCAATTTGTCAAACATGATCTGCCTAAGGGCTTCAAAATCTGCCTGAGATCATCACCTTGGTTCCCCCTGTAGATGTTCTATACGCAGAAAGAGGCCTCTCCAGTTCATCTCATTCTAAGAAAAGTAACCACCTTTCTCTGTTGACTAGAGACGAAACTGAATAAAATAACTGCAATGAGTGAGGACAAATTCCTGCTTCTACTCACTACGTCACACTTAAAATCATGGATGTTTTGATTATATAATGGAAAAACATCCCAAACAATTGGTACGTATTCAAAACATTTTTTCCTAGAAGCGCTTCCTAGGAATCACATACCTTTACAGCAAAGAATGGGGAGGTTTTCTTGACCCTTCATGATTTATTTGTCTGTCAGTGTCCCAGAGAAACTGAAACCCCTATGTCTGACCAGTCTGTCAATGTCCTGTAAAGGGGACCCTTCACCGAGCAGATTCACAGGACTGAAGCGAGACTCAGCTGCCCTTTTCAGGGGGGCTGAGACAACAGCAAAAGGGAAACCCCTCAGCAGGCCTTTCCAACATGTTATCTGCCACTGGCAATTGCTATCACCTGTAAAGGGCTTACTCTAACAGTTTACAGAATAACACTCTTTATTAATACAAATTGTGACAGGTTAATAAAGTTCAAGGTCGTCGGTGATAGTGTCTGACTGCAAAAAGGTGTTTAAAGCAATTGGATAATACTACAAAGCAAGTACAAACACAAGCTCTGATACAAACAAAATCTACTAATATACTACAGAGTAAGCACAAGCTCTAATCCTATGCATTTAGCACACATATGTTTCTTACCCCACAGATGTCCCTATAGTGGGGGAGAAGGACAGATTCAGCCTATCGACTGATCCAAGTAGTTTTGATGGAGTCTTCCTCCAATTTTCCCCTATTCCCAACTTACATTTATACTATCTCTTTAGGCTTAGGTGGAGCTTGAGTGACTCTAGTCAAAAGTACTTAATAGGGTAGTTGTCCTTGGCCTCTATCTCCCTTGTCTGACAAGTATTGTAGGGTCTTTGAACTACAAAGTGTCACCATGGTCCCCTCCCTTCAGGGATGTCTATGAATGGAGGCTGCAGGGCCTCCACTCCACTGTTCCCCTCCATCCTCTGTAGCAGGTGCTTATCATTGTTTAGGGAACCTTGGTGGGGCATGTCGGCACATTCCATCCAGGGAGCAGCAGCTGCATTTTACCCTCTTATTCTTAGACTCCTCTAATTTTTAACCCTATCCGTTGTTCAACAAGGTTGTATGGCCATATTCCCAAATTAGAGAACTTGTCTTACTCTCTTTATATTAGAAATTTATTCTAAGGGGAAAAAATTATTTATTGTAAATAAAACTAGTCTCACTTGCCATTTAAGAGTTCTGAATGTGGGTGAATTTCTTTCATATACTTTAATTCGGTCAAAAATACTTTATATCTTCTGTTTTATGAAATGGATTTTATAATTGATAAGTGCACTTGTGTTTATAGTGCCCAGAAAAGATTTAATCACTTCCTATAATTTCCATACAGTACTTACTCAATTTTAGAACATCAGTGAACTATGTTAGCCAGTTAGTTCTAAGAAATTAATGGATTTAAAATTGAGTAATGTCATTTGTCCTCCAGCCTTGATCCTTACAGATGCAAATATCTCATATTACATCTTGATATTTAAATAAGGAATTTTTTTGACAGTTAAGATATGCCAAGTCACACTTTTATGTCAACTAGGACACTGCATGGGTACTAGTAGTGCAGCATCTTCTCCTATCTACTTCTTAATTTTAGCATGGAAGAGAGAGAAAGCCAGAAAATCTGGCCTCAAAATACTGGCCTAGAGCACATATATCTTAACAAATTCATGCACAGCATAGAGATAGTAAGTTTTCTGAAATTTAGTTCATTTATGTTCATGTCCTCTTTTTGGCATGGCTGGTAATTTTAATAGCTCATGGTTTTATGAGGTGAAAACCTTCCTATTCCATATACACAGACAAATTACATTTCTACTATTGCTAAGCATTGTTTCATTGAAACTTTGGAGCTATAAAAGAAATATGTAAAACCATAACTTAGATTGTCTCTAAAAATTTACCAATGACTTTGGAAAGATGTGAGTAGGAACTGAACAAGAGAAAAAGAACCTCCAAACTTATCTTTATATTACATATGTGATTTTCAGTAGATTGTTGAAAATATACATGAATACCTACTTCAGTTTTGCACAGATGAAGCAGTATTTTTGTATACTTTGAACATTCTACACACTGCAGAAACTGATCCTCCAAGAGCCAGACTTTGTTTCATTTTGTAACTATTCATTTTAAAGATTACACTTACATTCTGAATTGCTTGCCTTCTGGTTCCAACTTTTCACATGCCAGAATTTTTGAAGTTAAAAAAAAGATTTTTTATTCTCACAAATATATCAAGACCTGTCTGGAATTTTGTGTTACGTTTCTGAAGCATTTTCTCTTTACTCAAGAGCTGTGATTTCTCTTTGAAAGAAGGAAGGAGAAAAAAGGAAAAGATACAACAGGGTTTAAAGCTGTTCTTTTTCTGAATGGTTACTTCAACAAACATCAATAGCAGTCTTTTTTTCAGCTGTTACACTAGTGTTTCAAGGCTGCAGGGGGCAGTGATGCCCTGTTTAGCTACAATACTGCAGAGCAAGACTCAGACAGGATAAGATTAAACAGTCCTGCAGGTTACAGATTCAGGAAAAAACCGCATAAACTATTTAGAATCAATTTATGTTTTGAGAAATTAGGTAACTATAAAATATTTATATGAATTTTGGACGGAAATCAATGTGTCATTTGCAGGTTAATATATTTGTTTTTCTGCTGCAATCTGTTGTAAGGATAAGACTGTTTTCTTAACTTTATAACTAAGGTCCTTTGAAGGATAATATATCTTTCTAGTGTTGCATTACTTAATATTACAACCTTAAACAAACAATCTCTATCCTCTGTGGAAAATAAAATTTTGCTTAGCAGCTCTCCAGAGAAGCCCATTTATTCACTGTAGATAATAACTTCCTTATATATTTATCATCCAATACACATTCTATCTGATTCACAGTCATTTAAGCAAGAATGTATCACAATAAGAAATAATTATATTTCTAAAGAAATAATTACATATCAGTTTGTTTAATAATTTCTATTATTGGACCTAAGATTGATAGAATCTAAGATGCAGAGATTTCCTGATAAAAAGACAATTTATGACTGAGTAACAGGTGGTACATATGCAATCATGTCTGCATCATGTGTTTTGCATTCAGTACTGTTTATTTTTTCTTTAATTCCTTTCTACACATAAGTACTTTTTTTTTAAAATTCAGCTACATCACAGTTTCATTTTTTCTGTTCATATCTTAGTATTTCCTGCATTTACAACTGTACTAAGCTGTAGTTTCCTAAAAAAACCTTTCTAGAAAGACATGCAGTGCAAATTTAACACAGCAACAAATGAAGAAGCCATCACGTCACTTGGTAATTTGCACTAATTATAGTCATCATTATTTCTATAGCTTTTTTGGAGGGGTTATTACCAATTTAGACTTTCTGCTTACAGCTTTCAGCCATTGGTTCAACCATACTGATCTCTGTTGAGCAAAAGAAACCTCCTCTGTCATGCTTCTCCTCATTAAACATATGTGCTACATTTGTATACCCTATAATCACCTCAGGCATATGTTAGAAAAAAACCTAAGACTGAATTATTAAAGTATCTTTCTGCATACTTTTTTATAAAAATATCACTAATTTCTTTGAGCTTTTTTTTTTTTAAATTGTACCTTTCATCTTTATACTTTTTAGGTACTACTCCATTGTTCAACAATACGCAATGAAATACAGTACAACCAGTATCACAATCAATAGAATCACAGAAATAAATTTGTCTTTATCCATTCTTCTTCAAACATGCAGAAATCACATTTATCATTTTGCCCCAGAAGCTTACATTGAGTTGCTTGTCTAAGTTAACTAAAAACAACTCTTCAGGACATTGCTCTTGCTTTGGGGTTTGGCCAGTAATTCAAAGAGGAAGTTTTGTACAAAAATAATTTCAAAAAGTTACCAATATCTCCTTTTTTCAGTCTTTCCTTTTCTTGTAAGAACGAAATCTTCAATGTTTGAGCAATTTTAGATGATTTCTATTTTAATTTAAATACCTTTATTACATTGATTGCATATTAATATCAGATTTGGATTTACAGTTTCACAATATCTATAATTGTAAGAACATTTATTTATCTTAAAAATATAAGGCACATCCTAAAAAAACTCCTGTTTTTAAAACATCCATTCTTTACTAATTTTTAGACCTGAAATGAGCAATTGTTATTAAAAGTACTCTGTCAATGAGAAGCTCAAATCATCTTTTTAAATATAAAAAATATGCAAAATACTTTTAAAAAAGTTAAATATTATTTATAATGGCTTTTATTTTCTATAAAATCACACAAGATTTAGTGATGTTCATTGTTTCACTTTTTAGCTTTGTTAAATGAGATTTTCACAAATCTACAGATGCTTTATAAGTCACTCAGTTATGTTGTCGGTTCATTGACACAGTGAAGGACACAATGGATGTCAGCAGAAAGCTGTTAGACAGAATAAAACTGAACTTCCAAACTTTTCTCTTGATGTTCTGTCCGTTAACAGTTGAAGGCAACTCTGAAGATTCCTTATTACTTCTGTATCAGATTCAAATAACAAAGAGAAAGTATTCTACTGATTCAAGCTTCCAGTAGGCAAATTGTTCCTTTCAGTATGACTCTCATTCTCACCTATTCTCTCCAATACAGTCTGGTATAATAACAGGAACAACTACAGCTCCATTACGAGGCACTTTCTGCACATAACATGGAAGTCATGGAAACCTGCTCCAAAGCTTAATTATTTGTGAGTATATAACAAAATACTTCTCTATTTCTAGATTTGTGTAACTGGAATGGCAGCAAATGCTAGCACTAAATCTCAGTGTGACTGTAGTTCAATAAAGAAAGCATGCAAGATAATTTCTTTTACCATTCAATTGGTTTTATATAATTCCTTCTGTGATATACTTGGCTTTTCTGAACCACTGTTTATAAAAAATGTAAGACTAGATATATAGAGAAATATTCTCAAAGCATAATTTTGTCAAACCATTCCTACACCCATCTGCAAGTTTTAGATGGACAGAACAAAAATGAGATTATTTTTCTCTACTCTAAGAAAGTAGAAGAGGATTTTATTATTCACATACTTGTCTGGTTAGAAGCCTAAGTGATTATTTCAGGAAGTTACTGAACCATACCACTTGATGCTTTGTGTCACTAAGATAATTTTTCTTAAGAATTAAGGTAAATTTTCCAAAGTGTGTTTCAATGGCTATGACACATGATATTATAAATGCTGTGAAAAATATACTTAGTGAAGTTTTAAGAACTTTGAAAAATGACTTTAAATTTAGCTTCTAGTTTGCAAATCTGCTCAAGTTTTACAGGAAAGGTGGTATATTTTCAACCCAATTTTTTTTTTAATTCTATCAAAAATTTCTGTTTTTACATTGATAATAATACTTTGGCTTTAGGGGAACCTCTGCTAAAATCTAAGATGAAAAAGGTACCTTAATTCATGAAAAAATGAGTGTCTCTCATAAATCTTTGAGATGTATTTTCTTATACTTTTTTATGCTTCTGTATTTCAGAAGCTAGTCATGTTTAGGAGCAGTTCTTGTTTGGATGACTGAATTTCCAGGGAAGTATAAATAGTCAAAGCAGCTTGGCAGAAGGTAGTGAACACTATTGATAACCTAGAGCAGCACAAATGTTGTGGCAATCTGTAGTGTTCCTGGAACTATGATCTTTGATGTAAAGCAAAAAAGGGGTCCTTCTCATTTGCTGGAGCTATAAATAAACAGCTGAAATCCTATACCTCTCCAACCATCCAATTACTCTATAATCCACAGGTAAGAAAGGCTGAAAGATTACAATAAGGCTTTTAAAATATCTTAGCAGTCTTCTAATTCTGATCACTCCTGATACTGAAGAAGCTCCAAGTACAGAGAATTCACTGTGTTGTCCTTTGGAACGCCTCCCAGAATTTCCCCATGTTGGTCCACTGAGCTCTGTCACATCCTGAACTCTCTAATCTCTTATGTAAGAACTTGTGGTGACCTACCGAACAGGCACCTGACAGATGATCTCTCTCATTTCCACGTTTAAGAATGTGCT